ACATAATCTACCCCAAAAAAAACCGAGTCACACGATATATACACCACATAAATGACCCCATGACGATGTGTGAATGAATGAACGGACGAACGAACGAGTGAGAATGGGTTCCGCCCGACACCTCAGTACGCAAAGGATTTTCCCGAGTGAGCGTGGAAAAAAAAAAAGCATTGCCAATTCGTTATAAAGAAAGTCCGGTTCGCCACACATTCGTCAGGTGAATGTGGAAAAGAAAATTCCGGTTCGTCGCACTGTTCCGATGTATATCGGAACATTTTTTACGACCGTACTCAATGTAAGGTTTATGCATGTGGAAAGAAGAACTGGACGAATTCACGAATATCTCATTAAAAACTAGTACGTACAACCATGTTATCGGGAGAAAGCGCACGTGATGTTCGGTCTTGATGCACTAACCAAATTGCGCATGTTTCAACGGCAGATATCTGCCATCGGCGAATAACAATGCTTCCTGTGCGATCTATTATCTTCCCATGACGAAAATAATCAAGTGCTGGCATACACAAATATTTGTACGTACGTACTTAGAAGTTAAGGGTATGTACGTTTTTAAAACATGGAGATTTATTAGAAACATCTATTTCCGTAATGAACTTTGCGTGAAACAGCAGCATAAGAAGGAGCACATACATGCGAGACCCCTAAATTTCTTTAATTAGTTGAAACACCATTCTTTTGGGTGATTCTGGGAAAGGAATAAACATGTATTCGAACACCCAAAATAATAGTGTAGATCATTGATCACAGAAATCTCGGTGACATCTGTTTACATGAACACATAACAAATGTGCCGTGTGCTTTGCAAAACTATGCCGAGTTCGTGAAATTAGTTGTGAGCATTCATTGTTATGCCCGATCGAAATTCTCGAGTCCAGTTACGGTAATTGATCCATTTCTTTGATAACGATTCGGATCTGGGGTAGATTATGTGCATATCCGGCTTTCCAGATTCAACTCAAACATTTGTAACTAGCTTAAATGTTTCACCAACA